ACGGAAAGTGAGTACTTTTGCCATCTCTGCTGAAGATGATTGTGTATAGCACACCTGTTGGGTGTTGAAAGCGCTTTATAAATAAATTGGTATGGTATGATACGGTATGCTGATCTAGTTGCAGGTTCTGTTCCATGGAGGGAACTGTATAGGGAGGTTGTCAATGTCATCTAGGTTCTAATCTTAGAAAAAACTTCTTTCATATTGTCAGGGAAATCAAGTGATGATAAAACTGGGCTTGATGGAGAGAGGGTGGATTTCGGAGCGGTCAGGGTAAATAGAGTTTGGGGCAGGTGATTCTGTTCAGGGTCAAGGTTTTGGTAAGAGAGATGTAGAATGGGGGGCTGCACATGTTCTGTTGAGTACGGTGAGGAGCTCTTGGTCTGGGTTGGAGTGTCGGAATAGGGTGTTTTGAAGTGGGGCTTCAGTTGTTTTACAGAAGTTGGTGGGAGACATTTTTCTTTAGTCATTTTGTTAGTGTTAAAGGAGTGTCTGAATTGCTCTTGGAGCTATTTTAAATGTATTGATCCAAAGCAGGGCTTATCCATGCTCTCTCAGCAGAAAGCTTGTTTGCAATTCTGGCTGAAAAACACCATGGCTGTTCTGTCAACGATCCAGTTTGTTATGCTCATAGTTCTAGAGAGGAAGGTTGTTTGACTTGGAAACCTTAAGCTTTCATTTTGACCTTTTTGCCAATACAATTCTTCTCTTGGAAACTTTTTGGCCATATGCTTCTATTTTCATTGCAGGCCATAGTTTTTTGTTTTTCTTTACCAAAAATGGTGGATCACTTGCTCTTGGTTGGTTTTGAGCAGCCTGAAGTAGAAGAGGGCCAGTATCTTGCTGTGACACAAATAATTTTAGGACAGAGTAGGAGATTATTAAACAGACCAGGGCTTCATCTGCAGCAATGTTGGTGCTGCTTTGATCTGTTGTATTGAATAAGGAAATCAACCAGAAAGTGACACTCTGGGTTTACTAGTCTATGTTTTAAGCCTCAACTATGGCCACGATGAGTTATGGATAAAGCTGTTTCTAATTATGACAGACACTGTTACTGTTAATGGATCTGAACATAATGCATTGAAGGGGATTTTGTGGATCATCATCAAGACTTCTTGAAGTTGGTCTGATGCTGCTTCCATTCAGGTACTTTAAGTGTGTTTGTATACTGAGATCAATGAGGTAAAATACAGTTTTCTGTTGGAACACGTCTGGGGACATTAGTTTTCTTTGAAGTCTACAACTTATTTTATTTTAGTTTTTTTTTTCATATCAGTGAATAAAAAACTAGTATTGAGCAGTTTTGTGATGGTAACAATCCAATTTTTCTTATTCTTATACTGTAAGAAAATGGTAGGTTCCAATCTTTAGAGACTGAAATGGACTCGGATAAAGAGAGTTAGGAGCTCCAATATCCCAGGAAACTCAAAACACCTTTGTTCTTATTCATTAAAAGGAGTATATCCTCCTAGTCACCAACTGGAACACAGTGCTATGCCTCATGGCTATTTTCATTATTATTTTTCTTCCCATAGGTTGCAGAATGCTAAAGCTTCCAGCTTCTTTTATTTATATATATATATATATATATATATATATATATATATATATATATATGTATATATATATATGTGTGTGTGTGTACATGTCACATACCTACTGAAAAACACTTGTATCCTCTGATGGCAGTCATTTTTTTTAAATGTAGGTGTTGGCAAAATATCAACAATGTACTCAAAATTTTTTTGTCACTGTTTATCGCTCAGTTCAAAGGTGCATTACCACATGTAAGCCACATGCAAGCACTTCATGAAGCCGCCAACCTCCTTTACTGCAGCACATCAGTTTTGGCAATGGAATAAGAGAAGGCTGCTGAAAGTGCCTCAGGCTACTTCTCATAGATAAATTCTCGCTGTACAGCCAGGTTGTTTGTTCCTTCACTGATGTCATCTGGGCTGCTGAAAAAAACAAACTCACCGTTTTTAAGAGTATATTTTGGCTGCAAATTACCTACCTTTTTTTTTCTTTCTATTTGTCACTACATCCCCACGTCAGAAGTTTCTATAATTGAGGATGCAACTTGACCATTGGTGACTGTATAAAAGAAACGATCTGAACATATCATGGTAACATGCCACAACATTTATCCCTTTCATATCTCCATCCGTTCAGACCTTTGGGTGTTTCGTGAGCGTATTACAAACACACGGGTGACAACAATTTATAAAGGTTGACACTAAAGACACAACCATCCATCCTCACTGTTTAGAGTTGGAGCTAGATATAAGTCCACAGGAGTGCATATATAATGGGAGTGTTTGTGTGCAGATGCTGTTTGGAAAACTTACTACAATGTCTCACCAGCGATATCCTTAGTTCTGCAGCTTTGTGATACAGACAAGGCTATCCTTCATTACTCTCCCCTTCACCAACCTGGCTCTAAAGATAAGAGAGGAACACCACCTGTCCTTTGTTTCTATCTCTGTTACATACCCAAAAAAAGCTCCTGTTGCAAGGAGAGAAAATTCAAACACCTGGAGATAATTTCACCTCTGTTTGCCAGCTGATATCTGATCCAGGTTTTGCTTTGTTTTTCCTATCAGTTGATGTTGTTCATGTTTACTTTTTAGTTTTTTGGTTGTTGTTGGTTTTTAAGTTTAATCAGTTGTATGAATCGATCAGCAGCTGTTTTCTTGCAATATTGGACAGTAAGATCCATTTATTAGGCAGTTTCAATCAAAGCTATTTTAGTCTGAAGTTTGCAAACAGTTTGATGTGGTAGATTTTATTTCCCTTTAGTATTTTTGTTTAGGTAGTCAAACGCTTGGATACACATCTGCCATTCAATAGGTCTTCTTAATTATAACTCTTTACATTGTAGATGCAGCGATAAAATGGCAAAACTTACATAAGAGTATACCTTATTTTACCAGAAACTAAAATTGTGATATAATCCAAGACATATTTTATAGTTTAGATTTCCCTTTTTTTGATTGCTGCTCTGCACACTCCTGGTATTCTCTAGTTGAGCTTCAATGAGTACTGCCTTAAAGGGGCCATAGAATGCAAAACCGAGTTTAGATTGCCATAGATGAATAACGATAGCTCAGTGGGTGAAATGGACGTACAGAGAAGTTCAAAACCCATCGACACCTCCTTTCTCTGCAAATTTCCCAATTCTAAACTTCCACCATAAAACGGGCAAATTCAAATGAGGCCCCGAATTGACGTAAACTCTGGGATGTTATTTGGTTCTGGCCTGTACTTTTGTCACGACCCGAAATTGACATACAGATCAGCTCACTGGTTTATTGGCCCAAGGGAAGGGGGTTGATATAAAGTGTCGATTGCTGGGCTGCTGACGGGACCAGACCTCTGCAGAGAACCATGAGCCGCCCATCCTCAGCCGGAGGAGGAGGGCTGGGGGCCGGTAAGGAAGGTGGGGGCAAGCACGGGGCCAGCTCACTGGGTCGGGTTTGGTCGCTCCGTCCCCGCTGGCTCCCTGCCTCCGTCCACTGGCGATTCCCGGAGCTGAATGCTCGGTTCGAATGCCCGGTGTGTTTCAACTACGTGCTGCACTGTAGTCGACCAAAATCCAGGAGGATTTCGAAATTCCCCCCGGAAATTTTTTTTTTGGTATGAAAGGTAGGACATGTCTGGGGAAAAAAAGGACATCTAGTCACCCAACCATATCGACAATTTCTATGTTTCAGTGATTGAGTGCTTGTTGCTATGATGTGTCTTTGCTAGCAGCTTTGATCGTTTTAAACCAACCAATCAGCGCACAGCTCATCTAAATATTCATGAGCATACCATAAAAGGAAGAAAACCTGTCGTTTCATTCTAGGGCTTTTAACCAGGCTTGCATTGGGGCGCATAGAATAGCAAATATGCCATTTTCAGCCCAACCAATGTTACACACCCTATTCAGAGACCTTAATGACCAGCATGAAATACCCTATATAATCATTCTATGACCCCTTAAAATAGTTTCCCCACAGTTCTTTAGGTGGTTTCCCAGATAATTAAAAAGTTTTGACATTTAGACTATGAAAAAGTATTGTATAAATTTATTTGCCTCAGCTTGCACTAATTCCTTTAAAAAAGGGATGTTCTTATTTTGTTGCGATCAAAAAAGATTCTGCTTTGAAGATTTCAGTCAATATATGAAGTAGCTTTTCTGGAAACAGAAATGTCTGCGTGTTAAAGCAACAAAAAAAAAAACTTCCTTTTATTAACTCTGAAGCCAGGAAGGACTAAAGTGGTGCACTTCCAGGACTCAATTCTCCCTCAAAATAACATTAGACTTTTGAGCTGTAAGCAGTTTTCTAGCATCAGATTTTTAAAGACAAGCAAATTCTATAATGAAGATTGACAAATGTACTGTGAAGGATTCAAACACAATAACCATTTTTTCTGTAGTTTAAAAGTTATCCCCTGGTCCAATATTTCCTTTTCTTTCTTTATTTCTTCTGTTTATTTTTACAGCTTACTTTATCTCTAAATGTAATCTCAGAGGAATTTTAATGATCCTTCATGACTCATGCTTATTTATGTGGAATCAAATGTGGAAGAATATTTCCAGTTTATTTAAATGCAAAACAAACCTATAGTCACCGTCCATTTTACATTTAATCCAATTTAATCCAAATTATTATGTATAACCATTCAGTTATCCCATTATTTATTGCTGAATGGTTACCTTGGTTCTGAGAAAGCAAACAATAGACACAATAGATAGAAATTACTCCTGAGCCTGGTTCTACTGGAAGATTCATTCTATGAATAAGTATGAGTGGCCATCTTTTGAGAAAAACTGGGATTGAAATTACACTTAATTAAATAAATGTTTAATACCTGCTTTATTTGAAAAGATACCTACCATTAATCTCACAAAGAAGCCTTATAGGAATGCATTTAATTGTTGACTGAAAAATAAAAATACATTTTTAAGAAAGGGTGTTGAAAATCTGCAATATTTTTTTTCTGTTTTTCAGATGTTATCCTTGGGCAAAATTTCCCAGACAATGTTTACAAAACTAAAAGATGGTTTCAAGCATTTGCACGACACTTTAAAAAGGTATGTTTTTATTTTTTCTGACTCCATATATTTTGATGAACTGTTGATTTGATTACCTTTATCAGAGTTTTGCATGAGTCATGTTGCTTTTATAATGGGATTCATAATTCTAACAACATAACTACAAACTATACCTGAGGGATGTTTTAAGATGGCATCTCTAGGTCAATGAATATTTCGCTATTCTGACTACGTCTGATCAGAGTTTTTAAATATTCCAAGTTAATTGATGTATGAAAAGTTGAATTACATACTTTAAGCAAGGGGGAAAAAATCCAAACCCAGACCCTTTTTTTTGTTTTGTTGGGTTGGCACTGTGTTAAGCTGTGTTGTACCAAATTACTTTTAATTATTCTAAAAATATAAAGGAATAATTTGCTGTGTCGAGATTATTCTTTAGGCAAGGCAATTTTATTTTTATAGTGCAATTCAGTACATGGACAATTAAAAGTGCCTTACATGAATTGATAATAAAATAGAAGAAAAATAAAAGCAGTGTGAAAAATAAAACATTTGTAGAGCAAATAAAACAATTGGACTACAAAAAAAGCAGAATAAAAAAAACAAAACAAAAAAAAAACTAAAGGTTTACTTATTATTCTGTAGTTGAATTTTAGGTTTAATTGTGGAATCTGCCTTAATAAAACATTACTATTCCTAATATTATCCTGTAAAGTATATATTCATATTACATTTAGTTATACTGTTTTAGTAAAACCAAACAATTTAAATACCAATAATTTTTCTACAGGAAAATAAAGGACTACTGCAGGAGAAATGCTGGCTTGTCCTCAGTTTTCTTCATAAAAGAAGAAAGGAACAGAATTAAAAGACTGTACGAGTGCAACACATTTATTTCATTGTCATATTCTGCAGTGCGCACAGTTCTGAGATGCATGTACTGGAAGAGGCACAGAGGTGTCGGGCTGAGCTGGAGCGGATCCAGGTTAAGGTACAGAGTCTGGAGGAGCAGCAGAGCCCCTCTGAGGAGCCTGATGGTGAGGTCAGCAAACTAAGGCGACAGCTCCTGCAGGCGTACAACGAACTAAAAGCTGCTGAGGAGAGGGGGCACACAGCACAGCACGACCTGCAGTGGTGAGATGGATGCATGCCTGCCTTTACACACATGTGCAGCAATATTCATATTAAATACATGCAGGTAAAACAATACTTAGAAACACAAACATGAAACAGCAAAGAACACAGGGGATAGGAGTGAGTAAGAACAGAAGACAGAAGTGAAACTGGAGTGCTGAAGGAGGAACTAATGTGGTAGGAAAGCTTGCGTGCGCACTAAGACTCACACTAATGTACACGACTGTAACTAGGGACAAACACTGAGGTTAACTCCATGAGGCAGCATCTTTTTAGTGACTTTAGATTGAGGTGAAGGTGAAAGAGATTAATGTACACATACTAATATATCCATAGAAATACTAACATCATTTTTGATTTACCTAAAGAAAAAAAAAAAAGTATATTGCTTTATTACTTGCCTTCATAGACGATTTTGTGTCTTCTTTTCCTTCCCTAACTTTCTTTTGTTCTTACTCTCTAGAGCCCCTTTCATGATCTCAACCAATAACCCTCTTATTTTTGCTGCAGGATTCTTGTCTTCCTCCCTCAGCTTACTGCTCCACTTGTCCAAAAGGTCAAACACACCCACAGTTATGGAAAAGAACCACTTACTTTAGTATCTACATACACAAACCTCACATTGTCAAGTGTCAACGGGAGGTTAGCGGAAAATTACTAGGCAACATGATAACATACCCCAGTCTTTCCAGAATATTTTGCCAAATATCTTGGCTTCTGACTCTTAAACAGTGCAACATGTACTTGTGATCTCACGTTAGAGGCCGTAAAATAGATGTTGGGCAACTGTTTAGAGTGGAGTGGAATGAAAATCCGTTGCCTTTCCATGTTTTGTCACAAGAAGAAAACAACTTGAATCTAATTTATGGGGAATTTATTTAATAAACCAATACAAAATAAGTTTTAAAGTGTGTCTGTGGGGTGACGTACTTAGCTTAATTTTAGGATCTAAAGAGTTTTGCATGCATTTATTCAAAGTTGATATGATGCTTTACCCTCTAAGCTCTATGAATGTATTGTTAAAAAGAGTAATTAGATTTAATTTAATTTATTTTTTCCAAGATATGTGAGAAAACATCCTGCTTGGACCAATAAATAAAGGTCGACTTTTACTGGACCATTCTATGAATGCTTAATGTCTAATTTTGGCCTCTAACACCTTTTCTCCTCCCATCATGCATTGTAATCTTCCTTGTTTCTACAAAACAGATTATTACTGGAGCATGATTCTGCCAGCACCATGTTTTATAGTGGTGATTCTGTGTACCTTAATGATTTTCAATTTCCTGCCAAGAAGTGAGATCAAACCTAATGACTGTTTATTATTAAGTGACCTTTAAAGGCAATTAGCTGCACATCATTTAATTTAGGCTAACGACAAACACGGGTTTCACTTTGTAGGTTTTTGCTTGTGGAATACTTGGAAGACCTTTTTTTTTTTCAGTTTGTTCACAATACTATCTCCTTTGTGTTGGCCTGTCACAAAATAATAAAATACGATGATAATGCTTTTTAATTGTAAATTGTAATTGTTAATGGATTTATATTGCATTAGAAAAATCAGCAATGAATAGCGATACTTAAAACATGCATAGAATCACCATATAAATGGAATTCTATAGAAATTAGTTTTTAAGAGATTTAAAAGCATCCATTAAAGAGGTCTGTTTAATGCCTAGTAGCAGAGCATTCCACAAGAGATGCCTGAAACCATAAAAGTTCAATCACCCTCTGTCTTTAATCTTGTCCTGGGCACAGAGAATAAAACCTGGTCACAGAAAAATGTTGAACTATGTGATTCTATCATGAAAGAGTTCAGGAAAAGATTTATTTTTAAAGCAACTGTAAGACTGATTATCATATTGATGATTTTCTTTCTTTTGCCGGTTAGCAACCAGTCAGCAGGGTGTTATTATTATTATTTTTTATGAAACCAATTTGGGTTTGCTGAAACTGTGGAAAGAAAACAAAATTAGAAGGATGAAATAGCAGTTTAAATTGCTCTAATAAACCTTGATATGTTTGTCATTCATATTTACAATTCCCTCCTTCCATCTACATCATTAAACCATTTAATGAGTGTGTGTTTATTGTATGGGAACGATGTCATTAGGAGACAGTGGGTTTTTTTAGTGCAGACTCTGGTATGAAGAAGTCATTTAAACATTAAATAAAAATACTTGCAGGGCATTGTCTATAGATGCGGTAGTATCTGCATGGGATATACAGAGTGCATGTTATTTATGACTTTTTTTTTTTCTACTAGTGAGCTCTCTTGTGTTCTCACTATCTCTTTCTCCCCTGTTTCCAGCTCAAGCTCTTCTATCTTCCTTCTTCTCTGGGTTGTTTTCCTCTTTCGCCTCTTTTCCACACTATCAGTCCACACATGACAACCAGACACTCGACATAAAAATACCCCTTTGAAAATAAATAAAAGTTTATCTGTATCCATACAGACCCACAGGAATTCAGCACTACTCCACCAACCCCCCATTGCAGCATTCTTCCAGTTCTCTCTATATCAGTTAATATCCAATATTTTAGCTTGTCAGGAAGATTAATATCATTTGCCTTGTGAAATGTGCAGCTGTACAGTATGTGCTGTTGTAAGGTTTTTCATAATGACAAAGCTGACTTGAAATTATTTCATACAAACTTTAATGGACTGCTCAAAAAGCATCTGCCTCAGGGAGATGAAAAATTCATAGAAATCATCCTCTTATAGGCACATTCATACTCTGAAACCAAGAAGTGTGTGTGTTTTTTTTATTATTTTTTTTTAAGATCCAGATTGTTCCGTTTACAACCACATGCTATATGTGTCTTTACAAAGAAAAGAAGATTTTTATACTTTACTGGTAATCAACTTTTTTATTAGCCTGGTTTGGAGGCCGTATTTACAAGAAAATGCACATTAGTCAAATTCTTAAAAAACGTGACTCCAACTTTGTCGTAGTGCATTCCTCTTTCTGTGGAATCAGGAACTGAAACATGCCTTTTCTCTCTCCCGACTGAACCCCCACCCATCACCCCTACCCTACCCCACCTTATCTTACTAATATGCACCGCCATGCAGTCTCTGGGAGGAGAAGCAGTATTTGGAGAACGAAATTCGAATTCAACCTGCTGTAAGTTCATCATTGCACCATCTGGAATTAGGTTCAGAGGCACGGATTACTACTGTAACAGCAATTTTAACACAGTTGGAGGATTAAAGTAAAATGTATATTTATCCTGAGACTAATCCCCACATATATATATTTTTTTTGTTTAATTCAAAGTAACATGAAAATATGTGAATCCATAATATATTATACTGCTTTAACCCAAAAGCAGTGAAGTTTGCAAAAGCTTAGAATTTGTTCTCTGCAATTTTGGTAACCTTGGTTAAAAATGTGTTCAGGCGCTTAAAAAATATACCTGTTTAATTGCAGCAGCATAAATCCAAGCCTTTATTTAAGCTCATACATTAATTGAGGATCAATGACTTCCTGTAGCCTCTCTTTTAATTCAAAGAAACTACTTTTATTTAGGGGAACATCAAAACCAGGTTTTTAGCTAGGAATACTTCATAGGGTGTACACATTGGTGTATCACATCTTTAGGCTTTGCGTGGCGCGGGGGGGAGGTCTAAATTTGGAAATTTAGACTCTCTGAAACAACATTTCCCACATTTTGAAGTGGAATGCAGAAAACTTTTTGTCTTTGTTACAGTTACACTTTTGTCCTGATTATGGGAAGCATGTGTGCATTACTAGAGGCAGAAACTAAATAATTTTTAAGTAAAATATGATGTTTCATAGGTTCATTCGGACAATCACGAAGTGTAATGCTACATTCACACCGTGATATGAGCAACAAAAAACACATTCAATAAAGTGTGTACAAATGCGTCTTTTGCTTCTGCTGCTCCTGTGTTCAATGGAAGAGAGCGGCTTTGCTATATATTGCTTTGATAAGTGGGTGGAAAGTAGTTGTAATATATTTTTATGCGAGAAAACCTAAAACATGGTCTGTGCAGTCAGTTCATCAAGATTACGATCCTGTCTTAAAATATTATTTTTCTGTTGGAGCCGCACAGACCCTCCCATACCCATGGTGTTCTGTCACCGGGAATCCCCTGCAGCCGCTAACGGAACAATAAGAGAGAACATATTTTTCTGTCAGATTTAGATATTTTCATTTCATTTCAGCAGTACTGTTTCTTTCTCTCTGCCAGCTCACAGATCAGTTTCTGATTGGTTGATGTGGCACGTTGAGCAGCAAAATGTACAATTTTCCTACTCTAACATCTGCTCGTAAGATTTTGAACAATTGAGCGTAATTTCCCGGGGAAACACAGGGTGTACAATTTGTTATACGCATCACTAGCTTAAGGCCTGAGCAACAACATATTGAGCAAGTAAGATGTATAAGCATAAGACCGGGAGTGATTAAATTATTTTTTTTTTCTGAACTTTAGACTTCAAATACATTATAAAATCTATGTAAGAGATAAAAAAGTCAACAGTAAATTATATTTACCGTTTAAAACACCTAAAGCTCTTACTAAAACTAGAAAATATGTTACTTTTTTTTTTCCTCCAAACATTTATTTAAAAAGCTTCCTATTGGAGAAATGCAGCCAAGAGAGGCATATTAGGATCCCAAAGTCTCCTATACAACTATAGACCCCATCTAAATGCCAGTCAGGCATAAAGTATGCCAAAAAAGTATTTCTATTGTTCTACCATCATAAATGTAAACCTGTTGAATTTGCAGACTATTTCTACTAGTTTTAACTAGAACAATGTGCTGTAGTCATGGAGAACTAATACCAAGTTTTTGAGCAACAAAAGCAAGTCTGACATAAAAAAAAAATTAAGGAATAAGTTGGGGAGCAGTTCAGGCCTACTGTCACCCATAAAGACTCATCTATAATACTGTAGGCCAGTTTATATGCCTTTGGAATCACATTTTGATTATAAACCCGGCGTCTCTGCCAGCATCTTAATGCAAAGCATATGAATAGATCAAACCAATGCATGGTTCACCAGACACAACAAAAAACTATTTCCAAGGTTATCTCAGTCCCAAGACCAAAATACTACAAATAAACATGTGAAATGAGCTGAAGGGAGTTTCAAAACTCTAGACTATCTCATTCTATAGTATATGATCAAATTCTGTGAGGTCATTAAAATTAATTTCACCAAATATGTTATAGTTAACATGAGATTTCTTCTAAATGAATAATACTTAAAGGTTTTATGTTGTTTTGTTTTTTTTTTTACTCTCAATAACAGATTTCAACAGATCTCAAGACTTTGATTTAATCTTTACCAGAGGTGGCAGTTACTATGCAGGGTGCAGTAAATATTCATTTTATGCAATTACTGTTATGTTTAATTAAGAGAAAAACATTAAGTCATTGGCTCCTACTGCTCTTTAGTGTATTCTAAAGCTGTGCTTTGTGTACAGAACTCTAATGTCACAGGGCATTTTAAATCTTTTTAATTTAGTCTTTTTTAGTCACAATATTGTGCAACTTTACTGAATGTAGTAAAGTGACACTATACTAGTTTAGGGATCGATAATAAAAACATGAATTTTGCTGAATAGAATATGACTAGTATTGCATGAATGAACCAAAGGCCCTTTAGTGACTCTCGGAATTATTGCACCAGAATATATTTTGCCGCTTTTGCTTTTAAAGAGCGGAGTTTGAGCTTTGAATAACTTAAACCAGCTGCTGGCCATATCTTTTTAGAGATATATTGCTGCAACTTTTTACTGATTATGTAATTTCAGATGCTTCCAAATGTGCTTCTCTGGCTGGTTGCAATTCCACTCATGGCTAATTTTTGATTGCAGCTTTTGAGCCAAAAATGGCCATAAGATAAATATCCTTCTTCCATAAAAATTTAATTACATATCCACCTTATTTCTGTTGCGTCTGATGCATTGCCGGAATTCTGTGCAGAATATCCTGAATAACATTTTCACATGTCAAGGGATTGTCTTTCAGAGAACAAATTCTGATTTAAGAAATATCTACACCTTTATTTGGGATGATATATCTGGCTGGGCCTTCATCTTATTAGACTCAAAGGATGATCTGATGAAATGGACTTATAATATTTGCATATTTATCTGCTGTGCCAACTTTTTTGTTATGGGCAGAGATGCTATTAAATGAAGTACTTTCACTGTTTAAATGCATATTTCATAGCAGCATCTCCAGGAATACATTGGTTACAACATTAACTACTATTTACATTTTGCTGAAGGAGAAAATGTATCCCTGTGTGGAGATTAAGAATTAATTATATAAGACAATATAGGCTAAATTCCTTCAGTTGAACTATGAATAATGCTTCGGGTTTCAAACATTAAACCTAAAGTCTATATGGATAAATAATGATAACTCCTCTGAGAATTTTGAGGTCCGTTGAAAATGCTCAATAATGATATTTATTCCTATTGTAATTCAGGACATGGAGAGCAACACAAACCTGTTGAAGGGCAAACTTGATGTTTTGAAGAATGAAGTGGCTCAGAGACAACAAGATGTAAGGTAAGAAATCTTTCATGAGGGCAGAACTTGAGTGGTGGAGCTCCATGACTGGGGCTGTATCCTGATGTCTGCCCTAATCATCCATATAAGGCACTATAAAGTGGTTACGCTATTTTAAATCGGTGTCCAAATGTCTCGTGGATGCAAAAGTAGTGGACTCGAATTTTCATATAATCCACCTTGAAAAGTAGTGATTATCGATGATCACTAGATGAGCAGATATATCCTGGAATGCTTTGTGAGAAGAGCTCTCCTCGCAAAGCTTTATGGGATTTCTTGTCACAGCCTGACACCCTTCCAGAGAGGCGGAGTCACATGACAAAGATGGAGCGGATAGTAGTGATCATATGTCCAAAAGGTGACTTAATTAAGTTCACTATAAAGTGCTCTATATAGTTCCCACTCTATATAGAGATTGAGGGATCTAGGGGTTAGGGCAGACATTCTGACACAGCCTCTGTTTTATTCCAACGCAAGAAACTCTGAACAGAAATGTTCTGTTTATGGCTCTACATTTAATCATCATCTCATATCTTTTTCATTTTTTAGGATGACATTGATGTTCTGAATAACGTTGTATAAGATGCCCAAAACTTGGATTATTGTTTATTAATCTGAAACACATGTCATAATGTTTTAAACTTGAAGCTTTGTTTTTGTATTTTATAAATCTAATTTGATGGTTTGATCCCTTTTACCATTGAGTTTGTCATTGCTGACTTTAGTTTTGCTTTTGTTTCTGAGCTTTTTTTCGGCTTTGTGAATGTTCTGTTTTTTGTCCTGCGTGTTCATTTCTGTACACCCATTCGCCCTTTTGAGACTCCCCTCTAAGCTTCTGTTAACTTGCGACCTGCTAACAGAATGCATTCCTCTGTTCTGTTAATCTCCCTAATTTGACCTATCTTGGCAACTTCTGTTCTGTTTAATTATTTCCATCTTCACATTGTTTGCCTTGAACAAGCTTCTGTTTTTTATTTTTTATCAAAACTTTTTTTTTTTTTTTTACATCTGTTCTCCTTCCCATCTGTGATTAATTCCACTGAAAACAGCATGAAGTTTTTTCATAGTAAACCTTCCATCTTTATTCCTGATTGAACCTCTTTGGTTCCTTCATGAAAGTGTTACTTCTCCTTTGTTCTTTGAAAAATCTCTAAAGTCTTTGCTGAGCAGTTGTATTTTTTTTGTTGAGTTAATTTACATTAATGAAGAAGGTGACTCCTGCAGTCACCAGACTGAATTCAGTTCATTTATATAGCGCCAACATCACATCACATGTCATCTTGAGGCACTTTACAAAGACAATAAGCTGGTTTCTGATATTAAATCCCATTAGAATTCATCAAAGTAAAAGCGACAAAATAAAAATGAAAATATATTAAAAGGTAAATACTTTGATAAAGATGAGCGTATGTCAAGTGTCCTGAGATAAAACAGAAGCCAGGAACAGGTTAACCCTGCTGCAATAGGCTTCAAAACTTCAATGAACTAAATGTCTTATGGCTTATAAAATCAAGTTTGACATGTCCACTTTGTGATTTTTAAATTGTACCTCCTTGTGTCCTTTCTTGGATCCTCTACCAGATTCTTTCTAGTTTCTAAGCGGGTAAGAAATAAAAATAAGACAAACACACATGGTAATATATCCCTCTGCATTTATTTAATGAACAGAAAACTGATTGAGGATTTGGAAACACTTGAAACGCTTCTATTAAAAGAACAAAAGGAGTTGGAGGAAAATAAGATGATCATCAAAATCAAAGAGGTTTGTTTGTGTGTGAGTGACTGGGCTCAGTTGGTGGCCTTAACACCATGAATAGAATACATACATAACATCTGTCCTCTTATGCCTTTGATCGCCTTTCTCTATATTGTTGTTTCAAGGCTGAGAAAGCGCAGCTTGCCTGCATACCTAACCAGATAATGAGGGACATCGAAAGAAAACGCTCTGTATGGAAGTAAGTGATTTCAACCCTTTGTCAATTTTTACTTGATGGGTTAGACAGAAAAATTTGTCTATATTCAGAACTGCTGTACATTTTCTTTAGCAAGCTTTCCCTCCATCCACTGGGATCTTATTACAGTTTTGCATATGAGGATTGTTTTCTTTCATGTTGCACATGGTCAAACTTTCCTTGATGTACAGAAACAACCCCCAAAATCAAAACATTTTCATTTCTTATCCAGTAGTTTGTAGAAATAGTTATATTTTTAGCATTTTTTTAAGCTGGTGTGGATGCTGAGCTGTTTCTAAGATTTATACAGCTCATCTATGCATATTGAAAATTGCTGTTATGGTTGCATGGAAATAGCTGCTAATAGATCCTACCCAATTAATATCTCATAAATGACCCTAGATTCTGATACGAGTCAACAACACGGATGTGAGGCAGGGGTAGACCAAAGGGCTCGGAAAAGAAAGAGTTAAATGTTTTGCTCTCTGAGTTGTCGAGGGGAAAGGAAGATTGCTGGCGAAGAAAATGGACAAGGTTGGAGCACACGGAACAGCAAAATCAGCAAAGCAGCATGATGTGTTTTATGAAGACGTAGCTTCAAAAAGATATTACAAAACTGCGCTCATCTATGTAATAGATAAAATGACAAAATACATATGAATAAATCACCTTTCTAGAGGCGAAGCCCTTATACAGTAGGTCCTGCGATGGGCTTTAAAATTGATATATTTTTACATCAGAAGAGCTCATTTGTACTGTAATGTCAGATAGAACTGAAAAAAGTAAATATTACATGTATGTACTTCTTGAAATAAGGGAAAGTTGGTGGTAAGAATCCTCATTGATAAGTGTGATGGAGGATCTGTGATGCTGTGGGCTTGTTTTCCTTCCAAAGGCCATGCTTCTTATTAGAATCCATTGTTCATCACAGATAAAATCAATCTTCTTCAATGGCCATCTCAGCCCAAACCTTAAAACCAAAACCTTGACATTAGAATAGCTTATTTATATGTTAACTTAAAGGAGAACATTTTGAGAAAATGTAATATATATTTTTCAGTATCAAGGTAAAATACTCTCACTAAGCTGGTATCACACAATTCCTTTTTGCTTCAGTTCCTCCTGGCATAAATTCTACAGATTTTGGTTCACCTTCACATAATCACATCACACAGTTGTTTTTCTAGTTTTGATGAAACCCTCCAGTTTTCAACCCATCCCAGAGGTGCTCCATCTGTTTCGGATGACGTTTTTCCAATCTGTTGTCCAAATGTAGCCTCAGTTTCCTGTTTTTAGTTAACAGGAGTGACATCCTCTGGTACAGCAGCTCATCCATTCCTGTGTTTAACTAGAATCAATTTCTTCTAATATACTAAACATTCAGCTGCTATTTTCTCCTTTTTTCACCAGTTTACGTGACTCCAAGGGATTTTTGTTTTTGAAAATCATAGAAGATCAGCTTTTCCTGAATTTCTCAAAAAAAAAAACAACAGTGTAATAAAAAACAACCATGCCATGTATTAAGCCACCTGAATCCCCTTTTCATGCTGTTTGGTGTGTTGCTTTCCCTGCAATTTTTTGAGTTCTAATTTTAGTAACATGTTGAGATGCATTTGCGTTAAGTTTTGCAATTTTTTTATTGTTTTTTAACCAAATTTTTAAACTGCAGCAAACTTTATCATTGAAACATGTTTTTCATTTAGTGTAAACTAAACTATCCACATGAACTTCAACAGAGGGAACCAAGAAAAGCACTTTTGACACAACATAAAAAAATTATATTTTGCAGCTACAGTGTATTAGAAACAAGCCTGTTCCCCATATGCTTCAAGTCTTTGGATTTTTTTTTACCAGTGTTACACCCCTCTAATGTTTTTCCAGTCTAACTGGATCATTTCCTCTTTTTTTCCTCTGAACTTCCTCTGACAGTGTTCCAGGGTCTCATTTTAGTAGGTTTATTGCTTCTAATACGTTTTTTTTGCTTTCCAGAATGTTTCACATAAACACTGAACTTAAAGATGCTTGTTATTTAGCTGTTGTCACGATCCGAAGCAAAAAGTCACTCAGAACTGGTGCCACCGGGCTGAAATCAACCATATGTCTCAAGCATTAATCATTTATTTTACTGATTCTATATTTATATTTTAATTTTCGAGCAAGGCTGGGGAACTAACCATGAAAAATGGCTTGAAATTTGAAACTTAAAACCTAAAAGATTCCTGTACTATTATTATTTTTTAGATGCTGTTCATTTTAACAGCATCTTCACATGTTCAACGATCTTTTTTGTCATGTCTCTAAATAAACCCTAGAGTTGCAATGAAGAGGATGGAGTCCCTGAATATGGAGCTTTCAGAAACTAAGCATCAGATGAGGAGTGTGAGTGAGGGTAATCAGTCCCTGGAGATGAGGAGACAGGAGGCAATGCAGGAGCTGGAGCAGCTCAGAGCCCAAATAGAGGCATGTCAAAAGGAAAACAGACGGCTACTGAAGGAGCAGGAGATCAGCAGGGAGGAATTCGCTGAAATCATGGGCAGCAGGTGGCATTTTTGTCTTTCAACTTATAAAAATATTTACTGGAATGAGATGCTTTATGGTTTTTTTTATGTAGTAGTGTTCATATAAGTGTGTGTGTGTGTTTTCTTCTTTTTCAGTGGTATTTTAGAAATGAAGTTGCTGAACCTAATGATTGACAGAAAGCAGCTTTGCAACAGCCAATCTGTTCAGCTCAGAAAGAAACATAGGTACACTTCCTATGTCCATCTAATTCTCACTTTTTGGTTTCCTTCTATGCATTTTCCCTCTGTTCATTTAAGTTACACAGCTCAAAGTCAACATGAAAGGATGTTACAGAGACTGTGGCTTTTCTCAAGTTAATAACATCACCATAAAACAAATGTGCACAGTGAATGCCTAGTTGGTAATAAGATTCACTTAAAAAAAAAAAATAAATAAGGTATAATTTCACAAAACCTTGAAAAAATATTTCTACCTTCTTGTCACTTTGTGAAAATGAGTCTCTGAACAGCCAAAAACCTTTATTCATTATCTTAGCATTTAGTGTGATGGACCATCACAAAGTGGTGAATAAATGTGCACAGATGATCTGAGGTGTAATGCATTCATCAATAGTCCTGTAAACTGTGCATCCATCCATTCGCTATAGGCACCTGCCCTTGGATTGCTGGCGGAAATGTTGCCCATCACTAACAGTTACAGAACAACCATACACTGTCATTATTTCCTAAGGACTCCAGCAAAGTCAAACATTGGACAGTCCAAATGCAAGGAAACAGGGCCACCTCTTTAAACTGATGTTCTGAAATAAATCTGGTGGAAACTTAAGTAGTCACTTCTCCTAGTTTTCACATTTAAAAGCCTTTAATGCTCTCAAAAAATGATTGTGCGCCTTATAATCCGTTTATACAAGAAAAATGCTTACAAAGCGGACTTTAAACTTACCACTATCAGTTAAGCAGTAGATGCTAAGAGTGAATTGAGTGTTAATGGATTAATAGTACAGAAGTGGGAGACGTAAGATAATGACCTACACCATAGTCTGGTGTACCTTGTATATAAAAAGAGTTCAGAAACAAACCATTTATTGATAACACCTTATAATCCAGTGCTCCCTATAGTATGGAAAACAAGGTGTCCGGAGGGGGGGGATTAGCTGTGCAAAGGTCTCTTAGGGTTGTTAGATAAAGGATATGAAAATAAAACACCGTTATGACTAGGGAACACAGCAGAATTGTCCAGAATAAAGAAATAAATAAGATTAAAGCAAAGTTTGGATGATGATAAGCAATAAGCCCAGCTTTGAAAGTGTTACTGAATAATCTCAAGCTTTTTTTTTTTTTTTTGCATTGAGAAATAAAATAATAACAATGGTAAAAATGATCTAGGTTTACGGAGATTATCTTTACAAACCCCTAAATTGTGTAGCTGTTACTTCAGTAAAAGGTGGTTTTACAAAGGACGGTGTCTGAACTCAATTCTCTTCTACACTTCTCTTCAAATTCTCACTTTAAAATAAAATATTGACTTTTTTTTCTAGTATTGCTATACTAATTAGTGTATATCTTTACATAAGTAATCTGAAAAAAAAATTTTGATAAAAGAATATTTTTGGCAGAATCTTTGGAAACTGAAACGATTATTTAATGAGTTACAGCGTCAATGTGCTGTGGCATAGAGGTGCCTGTGGCACTGTGTAGGTTTAATAAGCCTGCTGTCCTATATAGCTGCCTTCAGGTCATCTGCCTTGCTGGGTTTGATGTCTCTAATCGTGCCCCTGAAAACAGCCCATAGATTTTCTATTGGGTTCAGGTCAGGGAAGTTTGCTTTCTGGTCAAGAACAGGATCACTGTGGTGCTACCTTCAGCACTATGGACAGGTGCCAAGTCCTGTTTGAAAAATAAAATCGGCTGCTTCATACAGCCTTTCATCATAGACCAGCATAAAGTGCTGGAATTTCCCCATAAGACTGCTTCATTGACTGTGGACTTAGGAAACACAGTGGAACAACACCAGCAGATGACATGGCACCCCAAAGCATCACTGACTGACATGGTTTGTGGTGGGGAAAAAAGGACTAAAATGACAAAAGGACACCTGCAGATGCAGGATGGCTGTATATTTAAATAAAAAAAAAACTAAAAGCTTTGCATCATTAAATAACAGTCCTGACATTTTTCACTGAAGCTCGGATAAGATGCATCTGACATCAACTCTGGTTCAAGAGTGGCTTAACATGAGAAATGTGACGGTTGTGTCCTCTGTGACTTGTAAAGTTTCCCCAAACCTTGAATCAATTTCACTTGATAATCCTTTAAAGGATTTAAATTTCTGTTATCTGTAAGCGATCATCAAAATTATAACAAACAAATGTTTGGAATGTATCACTCGTTACATAATGATTCTAGATTGTATCTATGACTTTAACTTTTGTTTTTATTTCTGACAGAAATCTATGAACAAAATCGACTAGTTGCTTGACTTTTCTAAAAGAGTTCTTGTGGAAAAATGTAGAAAGTAGAGCCTGCAATAGATATAATAAATATTTCAAAGGTTCTGTTGTTTTTCCTTAGGCAGGTGGAAGCCCTGAGACGGATGGAGCAAGCAGTAGCCATGGCCACTGAGCAGCTTGAGTTCACACAATCTACCTACAAGCAGATTCAAGTGCAGTTGGTTTGTAATATTTTCTTGCATAGTTTACAGATCTGCATATTTATTCGTTTTAAAAAATGCAGCCTTTGTGGAGGGATGGAAAGAAAGAAAACACTGCAAACTTGTAGAACATTGTTAAACATCACCATGAACACTCTGTCCTCACTATGAAACAGCAGCAGCAACATTACACTATAGGAATCATTTTGTTTAAGGAGAGACAATGAGGTTGGTCAAAAATTATATGAAGACATGTAGATAAAAAAAAAACACTCCTGTTGTAAATAATCTTTTAATCAGCAAGACTTCAGAGGATTGAGTTTAACTCTGCTGTGAACCTACAGCCAGAGCTGGTTAATGGAATGGCTTAAATTTTGGGTAATTAACCTTTATTACCTTAAAGGTGATTGGATTTATTTTTAAGTTTAATACAGTTTCCTTACTGGGACATTACATCTCAATAAAATGACACAAAATGACAGAAAAGCAACATACTGACAAAAAGTGACTTTGTTAAAGAGCAACCTAATTTTTTCTTGAAAAATGAAAATGAGAAAACCTGAGAAGCTATTGCATAATTTTAGAACATATTGCAGGTAACTAAAATATGAATTTCTTCCAGTTTAGACACAAACTGTAATGCATTCTTCAGAGTGACATTTAGCCTTTTTAAATAAAAAATTGCAAAGAAATGTAAGCCTAGTGGTGCACCTGTGTTTTGGGGCAGTTACAGAAGGCTTTAGTCATATCCAGTTATCAGAACATAAAAGGCATTTATTATCATCAGAGGACTTTTTAAATCCTGCATCTTCCCATCCTTTCACTGTTCTGCACAGATTTTTAGAGAGAATGCAGGAAGCCAGGGTGAGAACCAGACTCGATTGGATATGCATCAGCACATTTGGCATGCACAAACTAAAAGCAAAGGAAATTAAAACGGCACAATGGGGAATAAAAAGTTCTGCAAAACAAATATGCTGTACAGAATTATTTAGTAAGTTTTCCCATTACTGATTTTCACGTGAGCCATTTCTCATAATGACTAAGGCTTCACCACAGAAATGCACATTATTTTGTAATTAAGGAGTTTAATATTTCAAAAGTACTGTGTTTTATTATAAGGCTTTACCTTAATTAAGCTCTGACTGCAGCTGATGCAAACTTGTGGCATTAAATTGTCCTGTTTGAAACATTTGCATTTGATTCTATCCCATTCTTTCTGAAAGGATTAATCCATTAAAAGTGTGATATGCTACAGCTTATTACATTAAGATTAAGGTAACAGTATGCAAAGAATGATTAAATTTGTTATGAGAATGTCGACTGTATCATAAAGAGGCGTCTATCTCATCATGTAACTCATTGCAATCACAATCTCTTACAAGCTCTGCTGCTGAGATCCAGGACCAACTCTAAGCAGATGAAAGATGTTGTATCCAGATGAAAATTTAAACAGGCTTTTGATTTCCACTGCGCTCTGGTCTAAATATTCAGCTGGATGCTGTTCCCGAAAGAGAGGCCAGCGCTCGGCAAAGGAGGGAGCTTGAGAGGGAGATGGATGCTCTCAAAGCCAGCTTTGAAAAGCAGGTGGGGATGTGCTCTTATAACAGCAACAGCCTAAAGCAGTTTTATCTGTATCCAGGGTTCCTGCACAGTCTGGAAGAATGTGGAATTTTATTTAAGTAATTTTTTTTACTTGACAAGTATAGAAAAACATCATTTTTTATGGTCTTCCTCCCTTCTATCCTTACACCCTCCTATTATTATTACTTTCTTGTTCCTTATGTCATTTCCAAGGTTACATCTCAAGTGAATTAGAAGACCATTAAAAACTCAATACTGTTTTCACTCATTTAATAAAGAAACTACTATCTCATAGATTCATCACACATAGAGTATAATGCGAATATTGAGAATATTACTTTTAATTTTGATGGCTTATGATTTGAGATCATGGCTTACATATTATTAAAAACCCCAAACAATTATATGTCTAAGGGAATAAGAAAACCACATGATATCAATAAAATAATTCATTCACAGCACCTTTATGCTTCTAAAATATATTCATTTATGTGTACTCAACTGTTGATAAATGCTTCTTTTGCATGAGTTAGTGCATCAATGTAGCATGACATGGAGGTGATCAGCAATGCTAATGCTTCATCTTCCTCCTAATAATCCATAGGTTATCTATGTGGTTCAGGTCTGACCAATGTAATGGCCAAATTAAGCACAGCATCTCCAAGTTTTTTTAAAATCAGCTCAGCATAGATTCCTGCTGTTCCTCAGCTTTTCCTCTTAAGTCTTGGACCTTGATTTCCAAATGAAATTCAAACTTTACTTTAACAGGACTTTGGACCACAGCACAACGTTAATGCATCTTACATGGGCTTAACTTGTCACAGGAGACATCTGTTGATTTTTTTGTTGTTGTTGTTTAATTAGCTGATAAATGTGATGTTATGAGTTTTTAATATTCAATTTTTTCTGCAGTGCTCTAATTTTCTCAGACGCTCATTTGGGCGTTAATTATCTGTAAGCCATCATTGCTCAACAGAACACAGAACATACTGATCCTCACATTAGCAGAAGATATGAGCAATTCAGAATGGTTTTCTCCAAACAACACTGATTTCATTCCCAGCCAAATCCTCCCACAGAGGTTGCATCATCCCAAGGACAAACTACCTAAACACAGACTGAGGCGTATGCAGAACAGTGCAGTGAGGAATACTCCGACCTCTATACAGGGGAAACTAACCAACCTCTACAAACCTTTGGCTCAGCCAATGATAGTCAGCTCCTCAGGACAAGATTACACTAACAACGTACTTCTCAAGGACAAGGAAGACTCTTTTAAGGGTCAAAATGTTTATATTTTAGACAGGGAAGGTGGGATGCTCTTAGAGAGTAAAAAAAAAAAAAAAAAAAAAAAAAAAAAAATAAAAAAACAAAGTCATTGACAACTAATGAGGGACACCACTCATCTATAAAAGCACATGGTATATCCTTGAGCCTACTCAGAATCTTCATTATATAAATGTGATAACTAGGGACATCTATTATTAACAGATATTGTTTTTTAATGCATATAGCAGCCCAATAATCTTTAGTTTCAATAAAAGGCCAAATCTGATCTAAGGTGTTTATTTACACTGTAGAGATGAGATTTTTAAGAAATCCTTGCCTAGATGCTCTATTCAATCACATTGCATGTTCAAAGTAAAGACTGGTGGGAGCAAGTGGTGCAGATTTTTAAGGATACATCATGGAGGCACAACTTTTAAGATGTCTTGGAGAAAACTAATGAAACTTTGCCAGTTGACAAAAAATATAATGAGTCCCAATGAGACAACAGTTCATTCTCCTAATTTCTATGAGAGGAGAGATTTTAAGCCCAGCCTGGAGTGAGAAGAAGTTTCTAAAAGATAACCATGCAACAGTAAGGTTTGGCGTCATCAGCTATCTAGGATAAGAACTGAAGACCAGTTGTTTTGTTTCAAACCTTTTTTGGATTCATAATCATCAAAATCACATTAATTAAAGTGTTTTTTTTGCACTATGTCTAATAAATCTATGAGTTAAAGTTTCTTATGAGTGTCCAATATTCTAATTCTAAATATTCTAATTACCTAAGTTGTAACCCGTTTCCCTTTTCTTTCATTCTTTTCATGTGTAATTTTTCCTTAAGCCATTGACTTTTTTCCATCCTTGTGTCCAACCTAATTGCTATTCTTTCTATAACCGTCTTTCTTTAGTTTTATTTCTCCTATTTGTCCCCTGCCTGTTTTTCCTTCCTACCACCTGTGTATACATTATGTTCAGCCTGCATGTCTGTCAGCCCACTCTTCTTATTTTCTTCCATTCCTTTTTTGCAGGTTCCATATTTAAAGCCTTAAAGGGACAGTGTGTAACAAATATGCCATCTTTATTAGCAAAAATAAAGTGTTGCTTTGTCAATTTCACATGTGTTGAAAAGCTTATAACCTCACATCAAAAATAAAAGCATTCTCATAGTTTACAAATAAATAGCAGGTGATTCACCCAGTTGAAGACCCATGTTGTCATTTTCTGTTTTATTTTTTTATTTCATAGATTATTTTAGTTTTTTATTTATTTCAGCTGTTAGATTAAACGTGATTGTTATCCTACACTGGACGTGCTCAAATGCAACAATTAGCAGCTGCTTTTTTTTGTACTAAATTCGTATCATCTAACGGGCATAGGCTTTTTTTAGATATGTTTTCAGAGAAATATTACACTTTTCATCGTTTATTTTTGCAGATTTGACAAGTGCTTTAGTTGTTGTTCTTACAAGCTTGACCAGTGTGCCACATGTAATTAAGCTAGTGCATCACTAGGTGGGGGTAAACCTTGCACACTGCCCCTTTAAGCATCTTTGGAGATTTATTTACGAATATGCTCCTCTTCTTTCTATTAATGTGTTTATCTGTTTTTTTTCTTTTTTTTTTTTTTTTTTTTTTATCTTCATCTTGATGTTTTTATTCCAGCAATTTAACCCAAATATTTGAGATTTTTTACTGCAGAAAGGTGTTCCCAAGCAGGTTTCTGTGGCTGAAGAGGAAACTCAGAGGAAGCAGCACTACAGGATAATTCAAGAGCTGCTGACGGAGTCGAATCATCTTAGAGAAGAACTCCATAACCTGAGTTGTCTAAGACTGATTAAAGCAGAAGAGAGGGGTAAAAAGCACAAGGAGCGACTCAAGGCACAGGTACTAACACACACAGGACAATATAAAGCACTTTAGCCTATCCCATTATTTCTGTTAGGATTATTCAAATGTAGGTATTCATAATTAGAAAATTAGGTTTTGTATCTTAATAAACCCACACAATGGAGATGGTGGAGTTATAATTTTTTTTTAATCTTCCCACAGCAACTGAGCGAGCGCATCCAGCAGGAGCTCAAAGAAAAAGAGCTGCTCATCATCGACCACAACAAGCTCAACATGTTGCTCCAACACAGGTGGTGTTTTCATTCCTCTATTCAGTGTGCGAGTCTGGATAAGGATGACGTTGCAGAGGAATGCGTGTCCTGCTAATTGGTCATAGTTCGGTGTGCTGACGCCTACAGTGCCTCGCAGCACAACAACAGGCTTCTCCAGTGCATTCATTTGGGTCACGGCATGCAGAAAACATACTGATGATGCTGCACTGAACATGGAATAAATCCTCCCGAAAGCAAAAAAAACGCAGCAGGAGGATAATTAAAAATTTGTTTATCCTCTCGTGGTTCTCTCATTTAGCAATCACTGTTCACACCTCATGTCGTACATGAATTTTAAACGAAAGCTGATTGAAGTGTTAGCCTGCATGAATCTTCATTTGCTTATAAGAATTTTATTTAATGATTTCCTGATCATTGGGTTGTTGAATTTGAAATTAAGATTACTTTGATGGTATTTTGCCTTATTGAGAAACTTCAATTTTTTTTTTGTGAGCTCAAAAACAAGGTACTTTTCTTTAATGTCCTTTTTTTGTTTGTTTAACAATATCCTATAAACAAAGGTTAATATAATCACGTTTTAGAGACGAAAGGCATAGAAATCTGGAAAGCATGAAACCTAAACAAATCAATTCTAAAATATGATTTTCTTACACAGAAGAATATTTGAACCCAGCATATGGATGACTGTGATTCATCTGGCATAGGAGTGCAACTAGTAAACAGATTGCTTTTTTGACGGGGTTTTTAAATAAGAATATGTTTGATGGATGGGTATCAAAGTGCGCCCTCACATTCCAGCAAAGATTCTCCATCTGCAAAAAGTGAGTTTGACTTGCAAGGGGAAAAAAAGAGGATAATTTCCCTCCACTGCCAAAAAACAAGCTACTCTTTCATAATGTTGGCTTCGATGGATGCTCCTGTTTGAACACCCTCCCATAGCAAATATGTTTTTTTTCTGTGGGGGTGAGGATCTTATTGTCCAAAACAAATGATTTACATATTGTACGCCATTGTATTAACGTCTCCTTCAGTCATTGACTTTTTAAGGGTCAAACATGCCTCTTGGAGAAGATTGACAGTGAACAGGCTAATTGAGTTTGAGCAGCGTGACAGAAGGAGGCTATGACAGCAACATTACTGTGAAAATCTCACTCTTAAAATAAAGACTGATATTGTGAGGAACTGTGAGATTTTCAGCTGATTTCATTCACTGCTCCATTGCTTAAAAAACATCATATGATCTGCTAATGAAGTTGAAAAAGTTGTTGGGAGAATATTTAGCATTGAGGTCCATGTGCATCGTGACTATTAAGTGATGGTTAGTAGGACTTAAATTGTTTGTGGGTTTTTAGTTTGTGCTTTTGTTTTGTATATTCCGGATCTGTCGAATATTAATGCTGCTGCTCTTGGCCAACTATTCCCATAGATTCACTGCCCAAATCCTCATACTCATCTTTGCCCTATGAGCTATCACATACGTTTCATTAGCTTTTTGTTTTTTGTTTACATAGGAATCTATTGTATAATACTCGCTGATCTCTATTTATTCAATGGATTGTTGGTAGGCTGTTGGTAGTACATGGTTCTGTAAGGTCACCAGCCGCCATACTGGTACTCATTAGTTAGACCGGTTAAAATGTAAACAATAAGTGCGCTACAGCATCGAACAATGATAATGTTCTCGTTTTCAGGAGGGCTTAAGTCTTTAAAATAAAGATAAAGTCATCACCTTAACAAAAACTTGCTGTTTCATAGATTCAGTAGATCATGTAATTTATTCAAAAAAATAGGCACATCACATTGCATATTCAGAATAAAGTCAATAACTCATGTAATTTAACATATTATACAAATCCATCATTACAAATGAGTGTGGTATTGGAGCATAATAATACTGTAGTGAGATATTATCTGCTGATGTGCCAAAAGTGCTTAATTAATGATGTACATGTATTGATTATAATGTTATGGTAAATACATGACATAACAGAAATTTTTATGGTGCGACTCCGTGAGAGTGGGGAGTACCAAGAAGGCGGCAGGTAATTTTTAATATGTCTATTAGCAATCCAATGAATAAATGGAGATTAGTGATAATACGCTGATGCCAGACTTTGGTGTTCTGTGCATTCTTGGATGTTTAGTTCTTTGTTTATTTGTTCTTCACAATTAATGATTCCCACCTCACTTTTGTTCATATTTCTATTCTATAAAGATGAAAATAAACAGATGCTGTGCAAAACAAGCCTAAATTTTACATTAAAAGAAGCTGTAAAAATGGTATATCCGACTGTCTAATAATGCAGCTTCCAGTTTTCCTTGATGGGGACAAATTTCTAACCAATTGCTTTTTTATTTTTTGTTCCTCAGAGTATCACAGTATGCAAAACTCTATAATCAATTCAAGGAAGAGAAGAATAAGTATGTGAGGCTAAAACAAATTGCCTCACAGACAATTTCGGATTTGGGAGAGCAACTAAACATCCTTGGGAACGAGATGGAAATTCAGCGCTCCATCGCTGATAGCAAGGACAGGTGTGTTGATTTGTTTCAGCTTGGGCTTACTGTTAAACTGGATAAACCTACATAACAGATCAAGAATTGTTAGCATTTAGTTATATAACAACCACAACAATAATATATATTTTTAGGGATTCCATGTGAAAAACTAAATTACGTGGATATCTGCAAAGTGAATGGAAAAGGGATGTTTTTCTTTGTCCTTGTTTTTTGCAAATACAAATCTAGTGGATTTGCATTTAGGGTTTGTAATTAGTAGTGATCCTTGTTTGCTTCAATTATTTGTGCAAATTTTTGTTGCATTTTGAAAATCAGGATTTTAAATGACTCTTACTTGCAAAATGGCAGAAAAATCAGGCTGCACAGATAGTTTTGGTAGCTGAAATGAAAACATTTTGCTGTGCAGACCTTGCAGATGCATAAAGCACAAAGGCTTAAAGCTCTAGCTGTATTCTTATGATCATGCTCCTTCTGGAGGGTGAAACTCCATCCCAGATTCAAGACATTTGTTAAGCTTTTTTCCTTCAAAAATGAGCTGCATTTATCTCATAACTCCTGTCAGCCTCCCTGACTTTGTTTTAACTATTTGGGTGGCATGTTTAGACTAATGAGCAATCTGTTTTTATAGATGCATACCAGATTGCGTTTATGGCTTTTTTTACCATAGCAGCTTTATTCTTAACAGTTTTCAAAGAAGGCTTTGTTTGTCAGTTTACAAATACTATAACATAACTGCTTTAAAAGTTCACCCTTACATGTCTTTTGTCTCTCATAGTGTTCATAATGCAGTTACTATAAAGCTGCTACATGAAGGCCTTAAAGGTTTGTTAGGGAACTGAGTGAACAGTTATGCAAAATTAGGAAACTTCTTATATCAACTGGATATTACTTAAACTAGTTAAAAGGACACGATCACTACTGAAAGTCACGCTTTTAGTGTTTTAAAAACATATAAATGCACTGCACTTCTTTGCATTTGTCTTTCACAAAGAATGCTTATGCAACACAGTAAAGTTTAGCTGTATCCTAACAAAATGGGGAAATAGTTCAATGGGTATGTGCTGTTTAACATGTCTTTGTATGTCTGTTTCAGATTATTAACAAAAGCTCGTATAAACGTCTCCAATGGTTCCAAAACGAGGGAAAGACTGTGTAATGAGATATCTAAGGTCTGCTCACAAACACTCAAAATGTGGGGTAAAATGAGTGCAATGCATGTCTAAGACTGAAGCACAGTCAATATCCAACAGAAATGATACTACACTACGCCTCTCATTAACGAGAGCTGGACGACATTTCTGGGGATTTATCAAAGCATGTTTTTTTTCTTAGTAAGCCAGAAGCAACTTTCTAGTGGAAGTTCTTACCCTTTTTATTTTGGACTGTTTCATAGGTATCTATAAGCTACTGCACATCCAGCATTATTTGTACCTTTTAATGAGGCTTTTGAGCCGTTTCTCACACACAGGCTGTTTATGAGTTTATGGACCTCTCTGCTTTCTGCAATTTATATATTTGCTTATGTTGTTTATGACCAAAATAAGTTTGTTTCTACTCAAACTGGATTTGTCATGCTCTTTGCTCCACTCACCATAAGTGTACATTTACTGTAAGTTTTAAAAATGGGATTTTGATTTATTAACATTTTCCAGTTTACCTGCAAACGGCATCAAATCAGTCAAAAGTATGAAGACAACAAACTGGAGCTAACAAATCTCTCCCAAATGATCGAGTTCCAACAGAATACCCTTCTGGGACTAAAGAAAGGGCTTGAAAAAGCCTCACAGAGACGCATTATTCTGTAAGCTCATTATTATTTTTCCCCACATCTGTATGGCAGGTAGATTTATCCTCCACTAAGTATTATTCTCTATGATCTTTTTCTCTGTTTTTTGTACAGGGGAATACAGCTCCTGGAACAGGAAAAAGTTTTGTTAAACTATTGTGAGCAGACGAAGAACCTGGAGGCAGCCATCACTAACAGAAACATGGCAATGGAGACCATGGAGACTGATATGAGAGAATTGAAGATAAAGATTAATGAGGAGAAGAGGCAAATAGACCTGAAGAAGGGGGACGGGATCCTTAAGAGGAAGATAGAAGAGGAGATCACCATGCTGCAGATCGAGGTAGAGAAAATGTGCATGCATAATAGTTTATAACTCTAGGACGACATGTTATCCTATCAAATCAATGAAAAAAGTCTTAAGGGAAAGAATCCTTACCAGGACAGCCAGGAGGGAAGTGTCCATCTCTAATTTTAATCCGGCTTTGGTGTTAGGGCCTCCATCTGCTATTTTGCTGTCATAAACCAGCATCTTAGAAAGCATGGTGAAATTAAGGCTGTGCATATAAATCTTCTAATTGGGAAGGATTGTGCCAGCAGGATCCTGGCATGAGGATGACCATCAGTGCTTCTGGATGCTGTTCAGCTTTATTTATTCAGCACATATCGGGGTGCAGTCAGACCTGTCAATTAGTACTTTGTGGGGTGTTCAAATGATGAAGGTTATTCTGAACAGAATATCACATGCAAAGTTTTTAAGGAATCTCCTGGCGAACAACATCTGTGATCATCAGTCACCCGTACAGGTTATTCTCAAGGTGTATTTTTACTGGCTCAACTCTAGATTTTTAGAAATTATAGAGATGGATAAACATACTGAATTAACGTCACGCTGCACTTTCACTTAATTTTTTTTTGCAAAACATGAGGGTTTAGTCATTTTGATTTCCTGATTTAACTATCTCAGCACTCAATGTTTTAACCTCCTTTACTATTTTCATTGCAAGTGGTGGAGATTTGGTTCCTTTTCTTTTGTCTTAGTTCCAGATGATTTAACCTTTTAATAATTTCTTAATTATAGATATGGAAAAATGTATTTAAGTAGCTATTTTCATTCAGCAATGCCCTGACTTAAAGACCAACACACATCTGCACTACAGGAACGACATGTTCCCTTGTGTTTCTTAATGGATTGGCTACAGAACTGAGCATTTGTATCACGTTATTTAAGAATCAGTAAGTTGTGGAATGCAAATTAAAAGTGGCTTGACATTTTAATCAGCTTAAAGACTTTTTAGGGGTGCTACTAATTATGCCTAATTTTCTTTTTAAAATAACCGCTTTCATGTTTTCATCATGCAAATATTACATTTTGCTTCAAACTTTCTGCAACACTGCTATTAAAAGTGTGGAGGGTTGTTTTATCTAGATGCAGTATGATTCCCAGCAACAGCCACTAATCTGCAAAAAAGTGTAGGAGAAAAAGAATATGGGTATCTAAGAGAAAGTTGCAGGTCCTTAAAAGATGTTGTCTCTTAGTCTGGGCACTGTTTCTAAATCAGTAAGTTAAATGTTACTTTGCTGTTACATAGATACAGATTATAAACAGCAGCACAATTATTTATCACATTCCTTTATCATTGTTTGTCTATAAAAATCCAGTACCTACTACTCTATGAGTAATTGTGATATAAATAGAAGCATTTGTGACAGCATCTTTTACATGATTAAGTCATATTTTGTTAGTGTATTTGATCATGAGGTTTAATCAAACAAACAAAAAAAAAAACCTTTCATACAGTGTTTTGACTCTATTGATTACCCCAAATTCTAACTTGGTCAGGTGCTGTTCACTAAAAAATAGTAAGGTAAATGCAAGAAAGATGTAAAATAGCAGAAAAATAGATAACAAATATGTTCAAAGTTTGGTTTGAATGATTTGTGCACTTGTAGAACGGTACCAGTCGATTTTCAAATATTCAAAATGCTTTTCTTTGCTTTTAGTTTGTAGAATAGGTTTTCTAATATTCAACTGATCAAACGTGCTCATTTGAATAGCTTTAGTTTTAATTCAGTTTGATGTTTTGGTTAACTACTGCTGGACTGACAGTGGACAGTTAACGTCTGTAGTTTTTAAAAGAAGCAGAATCTAAGCTTGCCAACAAAGCTGAACACAGAGGTGAATTTAAAGCACAAGATTTAAATTTAAGCCAAGAGGGATGAGCCCAAAACAATCACAGACCAGGCTGCAAGATTCCCACGGGCAGGCTGAGAATATGAATAAATCACAACGTATTGCTTTGACTTTGCAGTAGAACAACAGACACATAGAGATCTTACAAAACCACTTATAGTGAATACGCACACTCAAGTTCACAACAAGCTTTCTTCCAACATTTCCATTGAGGGATTGGGTATGTAGTTGCTTTGGATCAGAGTGACTGGGTGGGACCAATGCTCTAAGCTTAAGTCTTTGCTTTTTGGATGAATTCAGACCACAAACTAACCTGAAGTGGGCCACGTGTCATGTAGTGGATACAACAAATACATGGGCACTTAAAGGTATAGAGGAGGATTTTCTTTTTCCGCGTGGATTATCAAAATAAGTGGTCCTCGTAATTGTCAATCATTTGGGTCATATGTTTACGTTAGGCCGTCCTATGTGCTCATCCTAAATTTCTCTTACTGGTGGTGAATCTGACATAGTGGAAATTTGCAAATCTTCTTTTGGAAACTAAGCTTGTATGAGCGATGCAAACAGCAACAACAACGGAGCGTGCACAAGGAGAATATGGGCTCGTGCATGCTCTCGCACACATTTAATAGGCGTTTTCCTCTCGGAGCAGGTAAAGGGTTTTGCATGTGCATTTTTGAGGGTGTTTTCAAAAATTCACGATAACCCTCCACTATACCTTTGAGGACAAGAAGTCTCTTTGAATAAAATATGCAGTGGCAACAGTTTGCCTGGTCCATCCTTTAGAGATAAGAAGATGAGTAAAGCTAAATACGTATAGGGCAAAAAATAACTGCTGTTGTACTGTAGACTGCAGACAACTTGGTGGATGATCACCTTCGAGCAGGAAAATGACCCCAAACATAGTACTCGAAGTATGACATTTGTGGTTTCAATGTTATAAAATGTAAACTAAAAGATCAAGGGATGTAAATACTTTTTCAAAACTGTACGAGTTATTTACCCTCATCTTTTGGTCGAGTCATTCATCAACCATTTGCTCCTGACATCCACTTATTTCATATTTCTCCTTCTCTTCTGTGTGCAAACAGCAAATCATTTTCTCAATCACACCCTTCCCTTGTACAGCCGTCTGGTTCCCCGGGGTAAAAAAGTGAATCATGGATTTCTCTCCTTTTTTGCACAAGGCTTGCCAACCCTATTCAGTCTCTATACCGATTCAATCTCCATGCAACTGTATTGTCGCCAATTTATCATATATATTGTCTATTTGTATTCATCTGTGACCAGTTTATCTGTTCATTGCAGATGGACCCCCCTCCCTTTGATGGGAAATTTTGACAAAGATAAATTGGGCCATCTGTTATACTATTGAAGTTCAATACACAGTGAGGCTTTCATTTCTCTGAGGAATTTTAATTGCTGCAAAATAAACGGAGCTTGTTGTCTGACTCTGAATTTACTGCCTGTTTATGTGATACTGGCACGTTGACATCCCATACAGGTGCACAGTCGGAAAGCTTTGCAGCATCAGTGGCAGCAAAGTTGTTTTCTGAAATGTTGTATAATGACTAGTTAAACTCTACTTCTGCCTGAGTGTTGCAAGGGAAAGACACAGTGTCATTAATGGAGTGGGATTTATCTGAAGGTTGGGTTACTGACAGTCTGCAGTGTCTCTGTGGCGGTGACTCATATTGTTTGTTTGTCCCTCTCTTAAATCTTGTCCAACCTGTCTGGAAGTTATCGCCAAGGGGGAAACCCTTGGTGAATTGTGGCTTTAGAGCTCTTATGGGGACTTTTATGTGACAGGTTAAGGAAACCTGGAAAAAGAGAGGGCACAGAAACAGAATGGCTAACCAAAATATTCTATATAAAACCCCACTTTACACCAAATAAGCTCATTGGGAAACTTATCTCTTTTAACTCTTAACTGCAGCGTATTTTATTGAAATAATCTATTGATTTAAGCTGTATTATTTTAGATCTGGTTGATTGTTTAGGGTCCATGTCCAGCTGAATTGATAGTTTTTCTTTAATTACTAAAAAGTCTGCAACTTGTGTATGCATATAATCCAAATAAAATTCATCTAAGTTTGTGATTGTAACATAAAAAATTGCAAATGACTACTGGTGTACAGGGTACATCAACTTTGCAATAGTAGACAAGTAGAGTTGCTGTTCCTCAATTTTATTCAAAAACTGAGAGAAATTTGAGTTTGACTAAAGTGGAATCTTAAATAAAACAGTCTGATTTGGAATGGTTTAACTGATTTTGGGTTATTTTTAGCTTGCAATGGAAAAAAAATACTTTTTTAATGAACAAAGTTTGATAAATAACAGTAAAGGTTATTTTGAGTAATCATACTTTTAATGCCCAGATTTATGTGACTCTTTGGTTAAGATGCTAGTTTCTGAATTTTTACAAGCAAACATGTTATGTTGCTCAGTATCTTAATTAGGGAAGTTAGAAAAAGATATGTGAGGTGCCAAATAAGAACACATTTTGTAGATACTTTTTTTTGTTTAGGAATTATGTTATTTCTTATCCAGACTTGGGAAGTGATTAAATCAACTCATTTAGTTTAATTTGTTCACTTTCCAAGCATGACCGGCTTTGAATGGACTCCTGCTAAGTGAAAGAGAAATTAACTAAACTCTATTCAGGCAATTCAGAGTTGGTTGGGCTTTGCCATCTGAGCACTCCATCAGGAGTCCAACTCAAACCGCTATGCATGCTTTACTCACACCTACTCACACTGACACCTCAGCGGGGTTGGCAAGATTAATCTAATATGCAGGCCTTTGGACTGTGGATGGGAAGAAGAAGCCCCCACAGAAATCAAATTCAACTACAAGAAGAACATACAAACTTTCCACAGAGATGCACCATCTGACCAGCAGCTTTAAAAGCTTTACAAGCAAAACTGAGTTGGCTTTTGCACAATGCAAATCAGATAAAAACAACATCCCAACACAAATAAGATACAATATTTCTGGTTAACATTTAAAGCATTTCATTTTCTCCTCATGTTTCTTTTAATTTATTGCCTGGCTGCTTACATCAATGTCTACAATTCGTTATTATTTAATTTTGTACCCCTCTTTTTCTACGGCGTATTTAACTATCAGGAAGTCCAAATAATTCAGTT